GTATGATAAAGCCTTAAAGGCCATTCTACAATTACGTAAACGTGGTTGTTAGCCTTAAGCCCGTATCAGACTACGGATTGGGATTGGGATTAGATTGAAATTTGACCAATCAGAGTAAAAGTTACTGAACTTGGGATTAGTAAACTTTACTGTGATTGGTTAAATTTCAATCTAATCCCAATCCCAATCCGTAGTCTGATACGGGCTTTAAAGTTACTGAACTTGGGATTAGTAAACTTTACTGTGATTGGTTAAATTTCAATCTAATCCCAATCCCAATCCGTAGTCTGATACGGGCTTTAATTCAACGCTGATTGGTCGAATTTATGATTTGCGACGCTTGCGACGATATGATACGATCAATGTAGAACTGGCCTAATAAGTTGAACCGAGATTAGGCCGGTTCTACATTGGGTACGTTCGGAAACACCACCTCGCCGAGCGTATCCGTCATCTTGCGTCTGATTGGTTTAAATGTGTCGATCTAAAAGAACACACCAATCAGATGTGATGGCTCGCCGAGCGCTCAGCGAGCGATGCGTGTTTTCTGAACGTAGCCATTGCCGTGTAAAAAAAAAACAACATCCAAATAGAAGAGCTCGATATAAGTGTTTTGACCGATAGAATAGATTCGAGCACGCAATCCGAAGAGGTAACGATAATATTAATCTGAAATGTTTTATCGATCGTGTGGTGACGTGTGCATTATATTGTTGTCGTTGAATAACTTCAGGTGCAGGTGATCTTTGTGCCGCACAAGTGCAGAGTAATGCAGGTGACCGAATTCGCTATATTCGTCGCACATGGTAAACAAAAAACAAACTGGCGTGCGTCGGATAATCCAGGATCGCTGTAAGATGTAAAGGCATTTCCGACGAGTTCGACAACTTGTAAATTAATATGGATGACGATCCACGGTTGTCACATTATGTATACATTTATATGGCCAGCAGGGATAAGCCGTTGAAGTTTGCATTTACTGTTGGCGAAACCATCGAATACCTGTGTATAAAGGTGCGGATAATTAATGCTCTTTCTTTCAGTTGAATAAAGCAGAAATGGAACGGTTATCTCCCCTTGTGGCAAAAACCGACGGTTCTGATTTCATCATTTTCTTATCAAGGCTTCGTCGTGTTAACTGTTCATTATACTGTCATCTTCCTTCGACAACGACCAAGTCGGAATAATCGGATTTCAAATTACCGAAACTACCGTGTAATTGTGGAAGAGTCGTGCTTTGAGTCAATTTGTGTTTTCTTCCCGCGCACTTTTATTTTGTCAAGCATCTTGGCACTTCTCGAAAAATCGAAACTCTGTTCAACTTCTAGATATGCAATGCCTACAATATAAGTCCGTTGGCAAGGCATCTGTTCGCGCTGCAAAGCTATTCTACGAAATTATGGTTCCCGTGTGGCCACGTGCTGGAAGAGGACTCGGAGAAGTACAGATTCAACTTTCGCTTGAGGTTCAAGCCATCCAGCATGGACAGACTGAGGGAGATAGATTTAAATGCATATAATTATTATTTCGAGCAAGTCCGCAGGGACGTGTTAGATAATAAAGTACCTGACATAGTTTATGAGAAACATAAACACGAATTGATTGGCCTAGGAGTTAGCGATATGTACAGGTAAGGTACAAGTCATCTTCTGTGATAAAAAAAAAAGAGAATACAGATTGAATGATTGTTTTAGGTTTTGAGTAACTTCGCGCAAATTTGCCGTGGATGTTATTTAATATAATTGCTGAGCGTTACGTGATTTTACGGCGTGTTTTGCTTGTTGCAGGGTGATGCTCGAAGAAGCACTCCCGCGAGAAATTGTAGAGTCGGAATACAAGAAATACATACCTAAGGAATGCATAAAGAGGCATGCCTTCTTCATTAGGAAACCTATTCATAACGCACTTACGAAGTTATCCGGGTATGACGCAGCATACGTCAAGGAGCAATATTTGAAGCAGTTCGAACGCATGGCTCCGAATTATCCGTACGAGGAGTACACAGCGCTAATGGATAAAGATGTTCCTAATCTAAGAGCTAAAGTCTTACTTAGAGTTACCATAGAGCAAGTGAAGTATTGCGAGATTGACATTGGTACATGGAAAACGATTTGTAGGATAGAGGACATTTCCACCCTTTCTATAGGGTAATTACCAACGTATAGTAGCATATTTTAACCCTTTGCCTTCCTGCACAGTCTTGTTGCAGATTTTCAATAATTTTACGGTTCATATAAATTACATATGTTAGAGATAATGAATATATATATATTAATCTAACACATCTTCAATCCTTTAGAAAGAACAATACTGTATTGATTGGGAGGAGAACTGGCATACCGTTGTGCGTGCAATTTGAGACAAAGGCGATTCTGTTGTCTTTTGTATCCACACTGGACGGATATTACCGCTTATCTGTCAAGTGGAATTTTAATCTTTGCAGTGGTGACGCTAGCATTATCACGCCTTCTCTAGAGAGATTACAAAAGCTAAGGTGCCATGGACCAGTTGGGTGAGATAATTTTCACAAGACGACACGAGATTATAGTCTGCGTGTGTGCGACATTTGCATCGAACCCGTAACAACGTTTCAGGAAAGACTTCTCGTACACGAAACTCAAGGAAAAATGTGCCAACGAGCCGGGAAGTTACATCTTGCGCGAGAGCGAAACCGAGTACTGCGTTTATTACATCGACGTTTACAACAAGGACGGAACTATATCTTCGCAGAGAGTGGTCGAGATCAAACCTGAGAAATTTGCGATGACAAACAGCTCTTTGGTATACGAATCCATGAGGCATTTAATTTCTTCATTCCAAAATCCCAATGAATCAATATACTTCGAAAAATGCTTGGGATTTTCCGAATACGGTACATGCGTACAATAGTTATATATGAATCGATACATGTAACGTTCCAGAGAGAGCAAAGATAAGAAAGTGTCCGTATTTTAGTTTTCCATTTTGCATATAGAGAAACGCTTCTTTTTCTAGACAAGTCGAAATTACTACTTTGCGCTTCGGAAAACGTCGTGAACGAAGTAGCGGCGGACGAGGAGATAATCACCACTCTGTTGCAAGGTGGACCGCGATGTGTACCGTGGAATGAGTTACAGGTATACAAGGCGATCGCGAAGAGCGACGAGGATTTGACTTGTACAACAACAATGACTAGTTTGCATCGAACTATATGGCGAGTAGCCAAGGGCAAGAAGCTCGAAGTTATGATGAAGATACTCAAGACCGAGGAGAATGATTATACCAAAGAATTTTTGGAGTTGGTCGGCAAGTGGAGTCAACTGCGATCGGGAGCTCTAGTTAGGTGACTATCAGGAGTCCTAGGGCCAGTTTCACAAACGTTCGTTAACCGCTGACCGAAGGTTAATTGATTCTCTGGCCCGGTAATCTTAGTTTAATTCACGTTTGTCTCTTTCTAAAGTAACAGAAAGAGACAAAGAATTAATTAAGCTAAGCTCAAAGTTACGCGACGTTGGTGAAACCAGGCCTTAGATAGTAAGATAGAAAAGGATAAGGAGTTGACTGAACTCTGGTTAACCGATGTTTGTGAAACTGGCCCGTAGGAAGGAGCGCAGTAACGTGGAGATACTAAAGTCCATTTCGTTTTCAGATTATATGGCATAACAGTGGCCCCGACGATCGGGATGCTCCTCGAGTTGGTAAACTTGGGCCCGCTGGACAAGTACCTGAGCAGCAACAGCAAGTCCGTGCTAACGGTCGATATGGTGGAAGCCACCGTCTGCCTGGCAACAGCTCTATGGCATTTGGTAAATTTCCCCAAATATCTCTGTGCGTTATATCTTAGTGTTAATATCTTAAACATGCGAGAATATATAGGAGGAGAATCGGGTAATTCATGGAAATATAAGGTGCCGGAACGTTCTCGTGCACTCGCATACAGATAACAGTTTCATCGTCAAGTTGGGAGATCCCGGCCTCTTCACTTACACCGAGGACGAGTAAGTAGAGAAATGCCGTCTCGTTTAATTGCGCTCACCGTTCTCGTTTCACGTGCGATACAAGGATCCACGATTCTCTCGTTTTCCGCAGTATATATTGGATACCGCCAGAATGTTACTCCGACTTCTCGTCCGCAAAATACAGTCTCCAAGCGGATATATGGGCGCTGGCGACAACTATTTGGGAGATCTTTTCCAGAGGGGCTTCTCCACCCAAATATCACAAAACTCATACCGTTAAAATGGTACGTCCGCTGCGAAACAGGTTTAATTACGTGAAATTTCTTTACGTTGATAGAATTGAGTATAAACTCGGACTAACACGATCAAACGGCGTTGTATTTACAGTACTATAAATGTGGAAATCGATTGCTTCCTCCTAAGGATTGTCCAAACGAAATCTATAAATTAATGTTGGAATGTTGGGGCAAAAGTAATTCTATATCGAGGAAACAGCCTCAGGCCATCATGCGAGATATCAATCAGATTTTATACGAAGTGTATAATGCTCGTAGAACTCATACTTATGCTACTATATGCCCCAAGCTGTTCAAAGACGCCGATGGAAACAACGATGAAAACGGCAGTATTTATACAGAGGAAAGCAAGTCGAATAGTGAATCGCAAACGAGTTTGGTCACTGATTACACCAGTGTTACTTGGAACGATAATGATCATGGCGAGTCAATTTAAATCTTTTTAATTTACACTTTGTTAAAATTGATTTGCATTATTCTTGATCAATTTTGATGCTATTTATACCGTTAGAAAAGCTACGAATTATCTGAATTTCTACATTGTAACACATGAGTTTACAAATAACAAAATTGTGATGACTGATACAAAAATCCAGGATAAAACTTTAATTTCTTTAACAGCTACAGAGCAGCTGGTCAGCTATCAGAACCAAGACAGTAACAGGGACGAACTGTCGCTTTATCTACGTTGGTTAAACAGCGAATTGTACAAGATGCCGGTGGCGGGTAACGGTAGCGATTGTGGTACCAGTCGCGAAGATAGCTCGGACAAAACCAACAAAAGTAAATCCAATGACAAGGCTTTCAACAGCAAAGATAACTCCCAATGGCAGCGTACTTATGAAATAAATGAAAACCTGGACGTGATCCTGCAAGGACGCATAGGTGAAGGCTTTTACGGCGAGGTGTACAAGGGTACGCTCAGGAGACGCAACGGTAAGGAAGTTGACTCGGAACAGGATGTAGCCGTCAAGAAGCTCAAGACGCAGGAGGACTCGGAAAATGTGCTTGACTTTGAAAGAGAAATTAAAATCATGGAGGTGAGCCTTTGTTTTAAGAATCAATGGCTGTTTCTCCAAAAATCGTAATACAAAGCTTCTCTACCAAGAGTTTTTCAAATCTTGCTGTTGCAATATTTAAGTAGCACAACTTTACGATATATGTTTATGCAAGTATGTTTCTTGCTGTACATATTAATATATAGGTATCATAAAAAGACTTAAGAAATGTCAAACATTTCCGTTTCTTGTACTTGAAATTAGCATATTAATTAATTACATGATAGTAGCGAATGAAATAAATTAACTGTATTAATTGTGTTTTTTTCTTGTGTACCTTTAGAGACTCAAACATCCAAACATCGTCAAAATTCTGTGCTCAGTTGACCGAATCCTGGTAATGGAATTCATCCAATACGGCTCGTTGCTGAGTTATCTAAGCTCGCATCGGTTTAGTCTCGCATACAAGACACTGCTGGGCTTCGCTCTGGACATAGTCGCGGGCATGGAGTATCTTGGCAGTATGAACATTGTACACCGAGATCTGGCAGCGAGAAATATCCTAGTGGCGAACGAGGATCGGGTGAAAATCAGCGACTTCGGTCTCGCGCAAGTGATAGCTGCGAGTGATTATTATGTCTTCAAAACTCTTCGCAATATTCCAATTAAATGGTAAGTATTACGAGGGAAGGTATATTAATTTCCATTTTTTATATTTTGGCAGTTGTAAAATAATTTTCTTGCATTTGAAAATAATGTTGCATTTCTTATTTTCTCCTTGCTACCTTTCATTAAACTAAAATTTCATTATTTCTTCGCGCGTTGCTATATAGTATACGGCAGAAGGAGTAAATGATTTTTCTCAGGTACGCACCGGAGAGCTTGAGGCATAACAAATTCTCAACGCGTTCGGACGTGTGGTCGTTCGGCGTGACGATGTACGAGGTTTTCAGTTACGGCGTCGACCCGCAGTTGGCAGTCAGAATAAGTGAGAAAGAACTTTTAATGACGACTATAACCGACCTGCTGAACGCGTTGGAACGTGGTCACCGTCTTCCTTGCCCAGACAACTGTCCACAGGAGATCCACAGGAAATTGATGTTATCATGCTGGCAATTGAACAGCCACGAGAGACCAATTTTCGCTACTCTACGCGAAGACATCGAGCAGCTACTCTGTAATTATTAGAATATTTCGCAATTCCGTAGATCGTCGGTTGTTATTTTAGAAATATATGACGTATCCCACTTATGTTTCTTACATGGGAGATTCTTTGAGAAGTTTACAATTAACTTATTTTTCGCAGAAAGTCGTTTTCTCATCCCCTTTATAAGATCTCAATACATGTAGAACTATGTACAAATTAATTTTAACTTAATATTTTTTAGACATGAGTGAATTTTAAAGAAAAATAGTATTTTCCTGTAAAAATTTTATTTAGGAAAAAAACAATAGGAAATCAAGGAATCTGCCCATTGGGAAATTAAAATCTTTCCGATCTTCGCATCTTGTATAGAAAGAATGTATCTAGTCGAAGATATTGTCGCCATTTTATCATGTACATGTGTGAAATATATCGCTTAAGTATAGTATCAGTTTATTGCTCCGAAAACGGGTCATAATAATATCTCGCATTCCTTTTGTCTACAATTTTCAACTCTCCGATCCTATAACAGGGTGAGGGGCGAGATCGAATCCCGAACTCGCTAACTACGAGTCAATTGCAGGAGGAGTAACCCATCATCTGCAACGTTTAAATATTTTTTCACAAGCCAATTTTGTTATTTCAGAAAGAAAACGAGCATTCTATCATTCTTCAACAGAAGGTTCTTTGACGAATAAACTGTTTTAATGCTTTTAGTGAATCCTTTAAAAAAGATACTATTCTCTAAAAGTTTTATTTTAAAAAAGGAAAAATCAAGAAAGCTACTATTGAAGACTTAACAACCTTTCTAGTGGTATCTCTTATAATATATGATATCTTTATTGTCTCCCCTTGGGGTTGCAAGGCACTTTTCGAGGGAGTGTTTCCGAACCCTTTACACTTGCAATTTATCCTATTTTCGCTTGCGTGAAGGAGTCGTGGATCCCGTGGCTTATGCCGGCCTCCTCCACCCTTGGTGTCTCTTATAATATGTATGTATGCTGCTACAGAGTTTAACGTCCTTAAACATCCTTTCCCTGCATCTAAGCTTACTCTTTCTGACGAGGCATCTCTTGCAGAAAAGACGTGGTCGATAATATTGAGTGAAATACGTGTGAATATCGCACGAGCATTTTTTTACGTGGAGTTTTTCCACTCGTCACTTCCGTCACACAGCCTCACCCTTTTCCGCAATAATAAAAACTTGCTCTAAAGCGGTAAGAATTGCCTATGAGCTGTAGCGTAATAATCGCCTGCGTGAAAAAGCCTGTACGCGAGAAAAGAAATTGACTAAAGACAATTTCCGTTTGCAGATCCCACCGTTGGTTTCTTTCCCATGTCATTACGCGAATATTATATGCGCCCTGTCGATCAATTTTCCGTTTGAGAAATTTTCACTACCGCGTGTAAGTGCGTGTGCCTCTCTTCGATGTAATTTACCTGGCAATGCCGCGAAAGAAATAAGAAATAATCGGACGGACTTTAAAAGAAAGGGGGAGAAATTGCTGTAATAATAAAGTAACGGGTTCGCTTCTGCAGTCAGTTCTTTCAAGACTTTCGAAACAAATGGAACATTCCGAAGAGCATTACTACAAAGTGAGCCGATTTCTTCTATCGGCTAGCGGACTATGTCCTTATCAAAGCAAGCGGAGCACGCACTTAACAAGAGGTGTTTACTCGGCCATCATGCTATCGTCTATATTTTTTCAGGTATTACTATTCTTTTCAGTTCAATGTTAGATAACTTTCGACGAATTAGAGGATAGAAATACCATATTTGCGGTATTAGAATACACATAGAAAAGAAGGAAATCAAATATTATTTGTTTTATCATACCGTAATGAAGATTTTTCGCGCAAGAGATTTAATTGAAAGTTTATCGGATAATTATTTCTCTTGATGATATTATTCCTTTGTTTTTATTGTGAGCTAATAATACCTTTACAGATAGCCAGCTTCTTTACATATGACCTCACTGCAGAATTTATTGTGGAAGGAATACCGTCGCTTATAATGATAGTTGGAGGCGTGATCAACACGTACACGCGTATCGGACATGTAGACAGAGTAAGCCCCGTAGATTCTGTTTTGTGTTTCTCATAATTCAAATTTCATAGAATGTATCTTTTGAATGTGTCTATCTCACTAATAAATAAAACTTTGGGCTACTGTTTATTTTAGAAATAGTCAAAGTTACAGTACTATGTACAAATTTTACTCCGTTTTGCTAAAACATCGATTTAAACTAATTCCTCTCAAATCAAGACATCACCTTCCCTTGGCTTCTTTTATCGTGCATTACCACGGATTTTTGTAGGCAATAAGAAGTAAAAGTAAAACAAAGTACACATGACAAGAGAAAAATGATGTCACAGCCAAAACATACATTTTCGTAAATCTCTTAAAAGTAGCATTACATGTTCAATTATAAATTATGCTAACAAACCAATGTAGCTTATTGCATAAATGTCTACTGATTTTTTACTATTATCCTGTACGAAGTGTAGGATCATTTATTTCTTATTCTATTTTCTTTTAGTATAGAGAATTATTCGAACGTATGTCGAGAGACTGGGCGTTGCAAAAGACACACGATGAGAGCAAGATTATGCACGAGCATGCTGAGATCTCACGATTATTTACAATTGGTTTTCTGAGTAAGCTCAATATTAAACCTCGCTTTGTCTACGGAAGAAAAAGACAGGCGTTTCTGCCTGCGAGATCGAGACTGTATTTCTATATGTTCAGAACTACTACAGTCGTATTTTTCATTACAGATATTAAACATATGTACACCGTACATGTAACTTTTAATGAGCAACGTGTGATATTTCTTTTAGTTAATCACAATCACAATTTTACCTTAACGAAACATTTACTATAACATATTGCATTGATTTTTTCATGTACTTTAAGACAAATCTATTTCTACCAATGTAGATAAACTTTAACCTGGGTTTAACTTTTTATCTTTTTCCAGTTCTAAGAATTAGGAAAAAATAAAAAGTAAGCTAAACCAATATTAAATGTAATGCCCAAAAGAAAAAGAGAAAAAAACGAAAGAGAAATAGAGAAAGGGGCATCTTGCTTACTAATATTCAAATTTGATATCACGTATTAAGGTCCCATTAAATCAAGCTTTTAAATCAAAGTCGAATATAATAAACAAAATGTTTACGTATCGTGAAAATTTAATTTAATTTTTGACACATTTTCGCTGATTATCTACGCTTTAATCTGATAACTTTTATGAAGATATTGTTTTCTGAAAAATTCGAAACAAACTTATTTTTGTAGAAACCGACAGATTAATGTATTTATCTAATATTGTATTTAAACTTCTCTTTTACACACACACACATATACCTCGGTTGCTGAAAATTATACTAACATGATTGCCTAATTTTTCAGTCGTGGCGTATATATTCATAGGAGGCTACAATATATGGATGGTCGTACCAGAGATCCTAGACATGATATTCCCTATGAACGAATCTCGCCCGCGGAGGCGACCCTTTAATGCTGAATTTTTTATCGATGAGGAGCGATACTTTTACATCATCCGGTCCCACATACATGTCGTACTATTGTACATGCCTATAACTTATATCGCCTGTTCCACTTTATATTTTACTCTCACACAACATGTTTGCGGAATGTGCGAGTTGCTGGGGTAAGAAATTACTCCTCGCGCAATTTACTAGCATTTGCGAAAGAGAGAGAACTCTGACAATTCTTAAATTACTTGAAAGCGAGACGTCTATCAACTCTAGACTGATGTATCAACTTTTGAGTTTGTCTCACGACAGATCGTTCTCTTTCTCTATTTTGAAAAAATAATTCCCTTCTCAGGTCTTTGAAATTTTATTACCTTGTATTTCTTTTCTGTAACTTTCACTTTAATGATAAACTGTCATTTTTTTTCGCTCATTGTAAGATGAATACTGTTCGATTCAAAATTAGTTGTATGATATAAGAATAACGTTGATGATAATTTCGGCAGGTATCGGGCGGAACGCCTATTTTGCGTTGTCGAGGACGAGAGGGCATGTGATTTAATTTGGAAGTCAAAAATAATTTACGAAAACATGGCCGTTTTTGTACGGCAGCATTACGAAGTAATAAAGTTCGTATTTTTATTTAACACGCGCGATATTTAATGCATCAGCATTAATCTTATATTTTCACGAGTAATATGCGTAACGGAACATTAACGTTGTATTTTGCAACGAAAATTGAAAAAATAACAACGATGGTAACTAAATAGTGTCTCTTTCACTCCTATGTGATTTCAACCAACGAAAGATATAATATTAACATTAAATATAAATATATACAGATAAATCTATTATAAATGTATAGACTTTCACAGATATTTCTCATATCGTGTCTCCAAGTACACATTTATATATAAACTGATTATAAGATATAGATATATTAATTTTATAATTTCTCTATCGATAAAAATAATCTTACAAAATTGAGCACCGTCGTATTCTCAATTGTAAATGTACGTTAACATATATACATATATGTATATATATATATATATATATACATATATCAATTCTTTCACATGCAAAAAATATTCTTTACTCCTTATTTTAACACGTATGACTTCTTTTCACGTCGCAAGATTCATTGGTATAATCGAAACTTGTCACACGGTACCGTTTTTTATGGATCTCACAGGAGTAGTGTTTATGATAAGCCTTTCGTTAATCCAGGTATGTTGATTCCGAAAATGTATCGAGTCCTCAAGCGTTGTCGAAGCGTTAAAACAAAGTCTTTCAGGTATTAACTATTTCCGACGCCGAACGAGCTATTAGATCTATCGGTGTCTCCATGGCAGGACTGGGTTATGTATTCATATCTTGTTATATGGGACAAAAGATTACGGATGCGAGCACGAATATAATTGAGAAAATGTAAGTATATGTATACGATACAGATTTCTTTAGTTATACAGGGTGAGGAAGAGGTATGGAAACCCCTAAATTTTTCGAAAACTGTGCACTTTAGAAACAAATGTTTGAGACCAAAGTTATATGGCTTCAAGGGGGACATAAGATGGTGTCATTAATTCGACCTTAAATAGTTGCTTGCTTATATCATTTTTTTTCTATTCATTAATTGGAACAACTTTTGTCTGAAACATTTCTTTATTTGCCTAATACTTTTTGAGATATTCAAAGAAAACTTGGCAACTTTTTCAATATTCATCATACGATATCTCGATAACTGTTTATCGTGAGGTAAAATGATACAGGATTTTTTGACTTGATTTGGTGTCAAGAATATGCTGTTGCAATAGTACTTCAATTTTTATAAACATTTGTGTATACATGAAAACTCCAAGGAGATGTGTACACAAATGTTTACCAAAGTTGGCTTCGCAGATTCAACTCTACGTGGTACAACGCCGTCGTTTCACAGCAGAAGGCACTATTGATGATAATGATGCGACGCTGTCATCCGATTATCTTGACCGCTTGTAAATTTTACATATTGTCTTTGCAGAATTTCGGAATGGTAAGAAAAAAAAATATGCCGTACCCGGTACGAATCATAATAAATGGCGAATAAAAAAATACATATATCTTTCGAAGATACTTCAAACAGCAATCTCCTATTGCATGTTCTTCAGATCCTAAAAATGTTTCTGTCAAATTGTAAGCGTAGAAGTAACGTAGAAAATCCGCGGGAATATTAGGCCGGTGTTCTTCTTACGATGTAAAAAACTTCTTACCATGTAAAAAATTATATTATATAAAAACAGGAATTTGTTGTTACGGTTTACAGGTAAGTAAATAGGTAAATAGAAAATAAACGTGGCATATAATTAAAAACAAGAATTAAGAAACTCACAAGGCAATTTCTTTTTAGAGTACCACAATATTTTTTCGAGTATTTAAAATAGTGACACAATTTTTTAAATAGTACTTATTTCAGTGAGAAATTCGTTGATAATTTTAAATTTGGTTTGTCTTACGCGAGAAAATTCAATTTCTCATATTTCATCCCGAGGTAAATACCTGTCTACTTTCTGTATATTTGCCTATAGTATTATCCAAAAAATCATCTTTTGGGGATACTTGTAAATAAAAGATTTCAAAGGAGCCTGCCGTTAAAATTCAAAATTGTTTCTCATATATTTTCTATAGGAGAAACGTTTCTTGACGATTTTAGGTCGTCATGTAAAATAAACGGCTATGCAAAATAAAAAAAGAGGTTCAAATATTGTGTTTTACCTTAGACTTCCTTCACTCATCGTTTACCTCCCTCTGCCTACGAACAACTGAAAAATATTCACGATGTCGCAGCGGAATAATTGTGCGTGTGAGAAAAACTAATATCGCGTGGATGGAAAACTGCCCGAGGACAATTTTTGTCCCCAGACCACCGGACGTTTCCCATGTTATTATCGGAACATTGTACGCGCGCTGCCGATCGATCCCCTCGACGCCTCTGAAAAATTCGCGCTTCGGCACTAAACATATGCATTTTTCATCAATGTAATTCAACCCATAAGAATGAAATAATAAAGAAGAAAAAGTCAAGTGCATCTTTTGAAGAGAAAAAAAAACTGAGATAATTATAGAAATAAAATAATTCGGTAAGCTATTGTTTCTCTCTGCGGTCAGTCTATTGGAAACTTCCGAAGCAAATGGAACATCCCGAAGAGCATTACTATAAATTAAACCGATTTCTTCTATCGGTCAACGGATTATGCCCTTATCAAAGCAAGCGGATCGCTCGTTTAATAAGAGCTGTTATCACCGTCATCGTGATATCATCTATGTTTGTTCAGGTACTCGTGGTTTTAGCAAATTATTTTCTTTCCAATGATATTTTTCGTAGATGTTTTTTCGAACATGTGATTGGAAATAAATATTAGAATATAAATCCAGAAATCAAGTATCACTGTCTCATCGAAAATAAAACTGAGGCTTTTCACGCGAGATATTTAATCGGATGTGTCTCGGATAATTATTTCTCGAGAAAATTACTCCATTGCTTTCGTCAAGAGTCAATACGGTATTCGCAGTCAGTTCTTATATTTAGACAATCTTAAATCTAAACCAATCCCAATTGTATGAAATTCCTTGACAAAGCTTTCGCAAGGATCAATCTTGGCTGTGAGAATGAAAAGAAAACTAAATCTTCGCAACTACAGAGCAGCATTCTTTACTGAGCAATTTAAGTTTTTGGCAGTTAAAATGATCATAAGTTCCAATGAAGGAGTAATTTCAAGTCACCTAGCGTTTTGGTACAGATTTCAAGTGTGAAAATCACGCGACTGCCGGTTAACCGAGCATTGATAGCAAATCGCGAGGATTCAGCGATCACGCGATGATATCGATCACGGTTTCTTCCCGTACTTGTCGCGAACGCGAGAAAGACTAGTACGATATGCGGAGCGGTGAGTGATGGGCACAATGAGAATAGACTGTTTTCGACCGAAGTCTTTACGGCGCTACGTCATTTTTCTCGCAACTGGCGCTCGGCGTTCGATGCCCGAAATTCCAAAAGTTTTCGCAACTGATAAACCTCAATAATTGATAGAATTTTAAACACCAATCAATGACACCTTTTCAGATTTCGGCCATATGTACATTTGACATCGATATGGACTTTATAGTAGACTTTTTACCAACATTTATAATCACATTGGGTCATCTGGTCATGTTTTGCATACGAATCGGGCAGGTAGACAAAGTAAGCACCTTAGATTCTTACAATTTGTGTTCTCATAATTTACACTGAATAGAATAAAAACGTATCTTTTAGTTTAGAGAATTATTCGAGCGTATGTCGAAAGATTGGGCGTTGCAAAAGACACACGATGAGATCAAGATTATGCATGAGCACGCTGAGATTGCAAGATTATTCACATTGTCCTACTTCAGTAAGGGAAACATTAAACATCGCTTTGTCTACCGAAGAAAAAGACAGGCGTTTCTGCCTGCGAGCTCGAGATTGTATTTCTATATATAAGATTGCGGCTACCATGTTTTTCATTATAAGCGTCACATTTATCTATTGTACACATAACTTTTAATGGGTAACATGCGACATTGCTCCTTGCTATTCATAATCATAACTTCACCCTCACAAAGCATTTATTATAATTGCTGTAATTAAATTAAAAGCCAAATTCTCTAAGCATAATTCATTCGATTTGGTGCTCAATAATTTTATTTCCCATTTTTTCCGAGTCTTTATTTTACTCTTTACAATACATTGATGTTTCCTATATGTTTATTTTAGATATTACTTCACTTTCTATTCAACGTATCATATATTAACTTCAATCTCAGTTTAACTTACTTTTTATCTTTTTTTTGGTTCTACGAATAAACAAGAAGATAAAAAGTAAGTTAAACCGAGATTTTAACTAATCTACGTTGATAAAAATGAAGGTCTAAGAGAAAGACAGGGGTCTCTTACTAGATTTTACTTATTCAAAATTTTACTCACTTTAAATATACTCTCGATATTTTTCTTCGCTTTAATCTTACAGTTTTTGTAAATAATGTTTCCTAAAAGATTTAAAGAAACGCCAATACGATGATTCTGTAAAAGATCAACATGTCTATCTAATATATTAAATATATCATTCTATTCATACTTCATTTCTTTTACATGTACGCACACATATAGCTTGAAAAAATATGGAAATATAGAAGATTATAATAATTTAATTATATAATAATAATATTAATTTTATTAATAAATTTATGATTACCGAATTTTTCAGTCGTGCCATACACATTGATGGTGGGATACGTCATATGGATGTCCATTCCAGAAATTCTAGACGTTATATCGCCCATGAATGAGTCCCGCCCGCGAATACAAGTTTTTAAAGCTCAATTCTTTATCGATGAGGAGCAATACTCATACCTCATTCACTCCCACTTATGTCTTGTGATTCTCACCATACCTGTAATTTATATCACCTTTTCCACTCTTTTTCTGACTCTCACGCAACACGCTTGCGGAATGTGCGAGTTGCTGGGGTAAGAAATTACTCCTCGCGCGCAGTTTATTACTATAATTTGCGAAAGAGCAGACGACTCTTAGATTACTTGAAAGCGGAGCGTCTATCAACTCTTAATTGGTCTATCAATTCTCGAGTTTACGCGACAAACAGGGGAGAGTTGCCGAATGCGTACCTCATCAATATTTCATATTATTACTTAATATAAGCAACATTTAGTAATAAAAATATGAAATCCATGAGAAATAATATAGACAAAAAATAACATGATATCTACATCTTATTTTGTGAATGCTAACAACATTTTTTTTCATTCAGGCATAACCGACGTTAATTTTTGATCCAGTTTTTTTATATCAATCTTATACTATTTACTAGACATTTTATTATTTTCACTCATAAATTTGGCTGTTTCAAGGAGATACGATTTAAGTAACCGGTTTCCTAAATCGTACCTTTTGCAACATGTTACAAAAAGACTTATAACAAATTAATTTGTTATTAGGGAAATGTTAAACATGTAATAATATATGTCTGAAACATCAAACTACAATTTCCGACGGGTGCTTGCGTACAAATCGATACCAAATTGGATATATATAATAAATAATACCTTAAGTGGTCAACTCTCCCCTACATTTCTTTTTATTTATAAAAAATAGCTACCATCTCTTGTCTTTGAAATTAATTATTATTTTGTGTTATTCCTTCTTTCTATATTCTTTACAAAAATAAACAGTCATTTCGTCTTTTCTTCCGCTCATTGTAAAACGAATATTATTCGAGTCAAGATCAATTGTATGATAAGAATAACGTTGGCGATCATTTCGGCAGGTATCGCGCGGAACGCTTAATTTGCCTTGTCAAAGGCGAGACGACGTGCGATTTAATTCATGGATCACAAACAAATTGCAGAAACATAGCTGTTTTTGTACGGCTACATTACAACATTATACAGTTCGTATTTTTATTTAATACACGCAATATCTAATGCGTGTGATCACCATTAATCTTATTTTTCCTGAGTAATACGCGTAACGAAGCGGATTAACGACGTGCTTTGCAAGAGAAATTAAGTAGCAATGATGACAACATTGATAACTAAACAATGTCTCTTTCGCTCTTACGCGAATTCAACCAGCAAAGGATCTATTATTAGTATTAAATTAGATAATATACAGATAAATCTAAATATGTATTTTCATACATATTTCTCATATCGCGTCTCTAAATCTCTACAGACTTATGTAATTCGAATTAATTACAGTCCACAGACATATACCACTTTTATTATTTCTCTAGCGATAAAAATAATTATATAATTACAAAATTGAGAACCGTATTTCCCCCCCCCCCCAATTATAAATATACTTTACAAATTTACTCTATACACGTTAATTTTTTTTATATGTATGTAAAAAGTATTTTTCACTTCATTACTTTAATACGTATGACTTTTTTCACGTTACAAGATTCGTTGATATAATCGAAACTTGTTACACAGTACCGTTTCTATTGGAACTTACAGGAGTAGTGATTTTGCTGGGTATTACGTTAATGCAGGTAAATTGGTTGCGAAAATGTCTAGCATCTCTAAATGTTGTCGAAGCGTTAAAATACATTTTTTCAGATACTAACTATTTCCACTTTCGAACGAGCTTTCAGATCTATCGGTGTCTCCGTTGTAGTACTATGTTATGTATTCATATCTTGTTATATGAGCCAAGAGGTCATGGATCTGAGTGCGAGTGTATGTGAAAAAATGTGAGTACATTTGAAAGAGATTTCTTTAAACAATATGTTTAAGAGTATACTTTGCGGGGCAGTACGCGAAATATAATAAAAGCAGATAATAAATATCTTTTGTCTGCCGAAGACGAAAAGGGAGATATTTTTAATTTACCAGAAGAAAAAGGAACTTTTCCCTAAACTTATTTGCATTTCAAAATTATATATGCAATAATTACAAATGTAATATTAAGATATTAGATACTTGCGCAGTACTCAATTTTCGAGACATGCAAAATATCATAGATAAAATGTTATAAAATGTTATATAACTATCACGATTTTAAAAGAGACAAACAATAATACACCAATATAATTTACTATGTTAACATTTATTATTATTGTTATTATTATTATGAGAGAGAGCGGGGAGGGAGAAGAAATTTCTTTTACTTCATTATTCCTGAATTTGATTTCCAAAATAAAAAAAATCATTTCTGCAGATTCAACTCTATGTGGTACAACGCACTTATTTCAGAGCAGAAGGCATTGTTAATAATAATAGCGCGATGCTACCATCCGTTGATTTTTACCGCCAGTAAATTTTACGTGATGTCTTTGCAGAATTTCGGAATGGTAAGAAAAAAATACGCCATATTCGACGCGAATAATAATAAATGGGTAATAAAGAATGCATATATCTTTCGAAGATACTGCAAACAGCGATTTCATACTGCATGTTCATCAGGCAATTCTGAAAATGCCTCTGCCAAGATGTAAGCGTAGCAGTAGCGTAGAAAATTCGCGGGAATGTTAGATGTGTACCAGATCTCCTTTATCGTATCGAAAATTCTTCTTTATAGAGACAGGATTTCGTTGATGTAGTTTACAGGTAAGAAAATACGCAAAGTAATTGCGATGCGTAATAAAGTGAAACGACTCAAAGTATATAAACCTGTTTTAGAATAATGGAATATTTGTTGGAGTATTTAAGACAATGTAGAATTTTGTAACATTTCTTATTTTAGCAAGAGATCGGCTGATAATATTTTCAAGACGATTTGCCTTACGTAAGAAAATCCGATTTCTTATATCTTATTCAGAGATAAATATCTGTATAATATCTAATAAATGCCTGTCTACTTCTGTATATCTGTCTATAGCGTTAACTAGAAATTCCTCTTTTGGAACACTTGTAAATAATATTTCAATCAAGTCTGCTGTTAAAATAAAAAATTGTTTCTCCTATATCTTCTATAAGAGAAATGTATCTCGAAGTGATTTGGTCGTTGTTGGTTACGTACTGTGCAAAATAGACGGCTTGAATACTGTATTTTACCTCGGACTTCCTTTACTCGACATTCGCTACCTTTGCCTCTGAAAATCGAAAAATATTTGCGATGTCGCAGCGGAATAATTGCGCGTGTGAGAAAAACGAATACCATGGATGGAAAACTGCCGGAAGACAATTTTTGTTCGTAGACCACCGGATGTTTCCCACGCTATTAACCGAATATTGTACGCGCGCTGCCGATCGATGCCCTCGACGCCTCTGAAAATTCACGCCTCCGCGCTAGACGCGTGCGTTTTTCTTCAATTTTAATTCAACCGATAATAAAGAGAAAAAAATAATGTATGAAAAAATTCGAACGGACTTTAAGAAAAAGAAGGGTAAGATGATTGCAGCAATGAAATAATAATCAATGAGTTGCTTGCTCCGGCAGTCAGTCTGTTCGACACTTTCGAAGCAAATGGAACATCCCGGAGAGCATCACTACAAATTAAACCGAGTTATTCTATCGTTTAGCGGACTATGGCCGTATCAAAGCAAGTGGAGCGCTCATTTAATAAGAGCTGTTATTTCTATCCTATTGGTATCGTCTGTAATTTTTCAGGTAATCACGGCATTGGAAAATAATTTTCTATTTAACATTATGTAATTAAGAAAATATCCCTTTTCAATTAAATGTTAACCATTTACGAGTTAGGCGATTGGAAATACCTATACATCGTAGTGGTTTATTAAATATTTATGTACTAGTTTTCAAATTTAAGCTACGAAGTGTTCTACGAGAAATTCGTATGTGTATGTAATTATTTCACGATAATAACTTCAAACATCACCCCTAGATATTTCGAAAACGTGGTTTTCGAAGACTAAGATTTTTCCGAAAAATATTCTTAAGATTTTCTGAAAAGATTTTTCTAAAAATTTATATATTACTATTTGAATTGTATTAATCAAAATTGTGGACCCAAAATCTTCAAGATTTCTTAAAACAGAAATATTTCAAAGATGTCATGCGAATATCTTTTTTGACAGTTCTATCATATTCGAAGTTTTTAAATGCCTCTTCAAGACAATGTCTTCTGAAAGCATTTATCCTTTTACTCTTATCAAGGATCAATAACGTGTTTTCAGGTAGCGAGTTTTTTCACAACTGATTTCACTGCAGAATTTATAGTCGAAGTGGTACCAGCACTTGTACCTACATTAGGTACCTTGAGTCAACTGTATGTGCGTACCAGACAAGGAGACCAAGTAAGCTCTGTCGATCATTACATTCATAACAAAATTTATACAACAAAATATATTGTTCTTAGTACGTGAATACTTAGATCGCAAAAAGTTTACATATCACTTTTACAAATGTTGTATCGATAAGTATTCGAAGCTGCAATTAACTTATCTTAATTCTTAATCAGTTTTTATCCTTTAAAGCTACAAAAAAGTTTTATAAATAACGAAATATTTGCGACAAAATGAAAAAAAAGCGATCGTAAATCTTTGAGGATTTTAAATCGATTATTACATGATTGTGTTACCTTTAATTGACAGTCTAATGAATGAATATAATTATTCAATCAAGCGTCTTGCTCTTTTGTTATTTTAAGGAGTTGTGATTTACTGACTTATAAAATATATTTTTTTATAACTCGTCATTTTATTTATTTCTAGCTTAGGGATATATTTGAACATATGCGGAATGACTGGAGGTTGCAAAAGACACAGTATGAGATAAAAATTATGCGCCAGCATGCCGAGTCTACGAGATTATATACATTTTATTACGCGCGTAAGAAAAACATTTCAAAAGTTCGTTTTATCCAAAGAAAAAGATGAGCATTTCTACCTGTAAGATCGACATTGTATTTCCGTGTGCGAGATCAATATGTGCTCTCTCTTCATTATCAGCATTGGATGTGTTATTTGTTACACATTACTTTCGACAAGTATCACGCGCGACATTTCTTTTAGCCATTCATATCACAATTTTAGTTTTAAAAAGCATATATTATAATCGCTGTCATCAAAGTAAATGAATGTGGAATTTTCTAAAGATGATTGGAATCATTGCTGAATTTCCCACACCTTTTCCCTAAACTCCTCCCAATTTTTTCCTCATATCGCATATTAATATATTTTTATTAAAGCAGAATATAATATAATGAAATAGTACCAAAGACCGAATACTTTTCTGAGTATTGTTTCATGCTCGACATTTATTTAAATCTGCGTTCAAAATTTTTAATTTTTGTATAGAGACACTGATAAAAATTGTATTAGAGAATTTCTGTTAAATTTTTCAGTTCTGCAGTACGTAATCATAATTACGTACAACACATGGATGTTCGTGCCAGAAATTCTCGACGTTATATTGCCCATGAATGAGTCCCGTCCGCGAACACCAATACCTTTTCAAGCTGAATTCTTTATTGATAAGGAACGACACTTTTATCTTGTTCGGTCCCATACGTGCATGGTGATTTTTGTAATACCAATAATTTTACTTAACGCTTCCACTTTATTTATGGCTCTTACGCAACACGCTTGTGGAATGTGCGAGTTGCTGGGGTAAGAAATCGCTCCTCGCAATTACTTGCGAAGGAATAGACGACTCATCGCTAGAAAGTAGAGCGCGCAGGTCTATTTAAGTGTAGTTTCGCACGTAACAAGTATAATTTTTTTTTTGTTAAAAAGATATCAACAATATTCTTCTTTTTGTGTTTTTAAACATTTTTGCCATTGTCACTTTCTCAACTTTTCTGAATAGTCATCAATCACTTCGCCTCTTTTTCTTCTTAATGCAATATTATCCGTAATTGTACGGTAAGAATAACGTTGGTATAATCATTTTGGCAGGTATCACGCAGAACGCTTGTTTTGCGTTGTCGAAGATGCGCCGGGATGCGACTTAATGCGGTCAAAAATAAGTTACGGAAACATGATCATTTTTATACGGCTGCATTACAACATTATACAGTTTGTACTTTTATACAAGGCACGCGATATCTGTTAAATCAGTTTAGTTCAAACGAGCAATTTGTGGAACAATTGTATCACTAGCACGCAAAGTCGAAAAATAATGTCGAGTAACTAAATAATGCTAGGTTTCCACTTGGACTTGTTCTCTTAATACGATTTTAGCGAACGAAGAGTCTATTATCGAGGGGATGTTTTACAATAGATCTTTTCCCAGTCATTTCTTAATATAACATATCCAAAAGTTATCATACATTTATGAATTATGATTGGGTACACGGTTGCATAAAGACACAAAGAAATGATTAATGTAAATAAATTAAAAAGAATATTCGTAAAAGTAAAACCGTACGCTAACGTAAACTTATTTTTATATACAACACTGAACACACACACACACACACATTTTGCCTTTTGTCTCACAGTTTCGATTAATATATGACCTTTTATATTGCAAGATTCATTAGTATGATTGAAATTTATCACACAATACCGTTTATACTGGACCTCCTAGGAATGGTTATCGCGCTGAGCCTCGCGTTAACGCAGGTACGTTTAAGCGACATGAAGCGGAAATACGTTGAGCGTATCAAAATGCAGAAACGAGATCTTTCAGGTACTCAACATTGACAATTTTGAAGCAGCGATAAGAGCCGTCGGTGTCTCTATTGTGACACTATCGTATCTATTCATATCTAACTATATGGGACAAAGAATCACAGACGTGAGTACGAGCGCATGCGAGAAGGTGTGAGTAATTTACTTTCTTCTTTAACAATAAATATATCTGAACTGCTGGCAGCGGTGTAAACTTACAATTAGAGCAGAAAGAGAAAATCGAAGTAAACGCTGAGAGAGAAAGGGGGAAGTGTTTTCTGTCCCTCTATTCTTCTTTGTGCAGAATTTACATTTATCCGAAATATGTGCTAGATAATTATGAACCCGCTACACTGATATGTTTGTGAAGATGAAAATATCATATGTATAATGTTATAATATAATTCTAAAATTATTATACACGCTAATATATTACACATGCTGATTTCCTTTCAAAATCGTTAAAAAGCAATGTTTTATAAACTTCTACTTAAACTCGACTTCTTCTCTGCTATATTACTCTTTGCATTATTACGTTAGTCACGCACGGAGATAATTTTCTTTTAAAATTTCTATTATCCTGAAAATCGTGTAATCTTGAGACAACATGGCATTTCGAAGAATGTTATGAGAGTTTTTTTTAATTTCACCATACATTTTACTAGTAAACTCATAAAATTCTTCGAAATGTTCCACGTTGTTCCACGTCCACATGATTTTCGGGATAAATTTTAAGAGAAAATTCTCTCCGCGTGTAAGTAAACGTTATTTTTAAAAGATAAAACGAAATATTCGGTTTCGTACAGATACAACTCTGCATGGTATAATGCAGACGTCTTCGAGCAGAGATCTCTATTGTTAATACTGAAACGACGCTTCCGCCCGCTCGTTTTAAGCGCCCGAAGGTTTTACGTGATGTCTTTGCCAAGTTTTGGATCAGTAAGAACAAAATGCGCCATAATATACATCGATATACGAAAGCCACAATGAGACAAATGGTACACTTGAGAATGTTTATCATTTCAAGATACTTCGGACGGCGATTTCCTATTGCATGTTCATGAGACAACTCTGAAGATACTTCCATCAGTTATAAATGCAGACTTGAAAATAGAAAATGTAGTCTTTTTTGCATGTAATTTACGTCAGCCCACGTAGGTTTATATAGAAAACACGTTAGCGATCTTGTGCCTAACACTACGTCGAAATTTATTTTTCGTGAAAAGAAGCAAATTTATTATAGTGCATCTGGCAGGTAAGTGTATGCAAATATCCAATAAACACAAACTATGTAACATTAATATTATAATTTCCTACTCAACAATGCGACTGTTACAACAAACGTTACATTCATATTGTTGAGTGGGAAATTCTAATATTGATATTATGTAATTATTAGACGATGTTTACTGACATATAACGTAACGAAAGATGAATGTAAATTCACGACATACATTAACAAAATTTGTAAATCTTTCCTTCTTGTTTAGAACAAAAAGGTAGATCAAGATTCGAAGACGGCATTGAGACAATGTTATTTTTTGTAAATGTAGGAATTAGTTAACTGAAGTGTCATGCTATTATAGTATATTCTGATAATAAAAAAATAGAATTATCCACGAATATAATGATGTTGAGCGATATTTAGATGGTTCGTTTTTACAAGTTTATTTTTTGGGGATATTCTTACAATATTAAAACGTTGTCGATATGTGATAACATCTTACGGAACGATGTATTGTACAAATAAGAATCGCTAACACATATCTCCGCCGATAAATACTTGGACTATCTTCTTCTGGAAAGCTTTATGAAAACTTTTCCCCTTAAATCTTTTCGGTCTTGTATAATAAATACTGAATAGACTTGTTTTTCTAAAAATGTACTTTGGCCCAAACACACATTCTCCTCCAGTTTTGTAACTACTACATTTTTCTGATAGTGTATTTTCAATTCTAAGCACGTCTAAATAATTTTCAAAACCCTTTGTTTCATATGGCAAATATGTTAAATCTTAACATATTTTCTATAATCAAGGTGGAAGTATGACTTTCTAAAATATTCACTCGCTTATGATTTTATATTTATCTTCACACGTACTTGTGCATTAAAAGTACATTATTAATAAATATTAATTTATAAGGTATAAATAAAGTGTGCAAATTAATACAATCTAACCTAATCAATATATATGCAAAAGTACGCCACAAACCATCCTTTCTCTTTTCGGTTATGTTAATCCAATTGGCTGGTGAAGTAGTGAGGGTCCTTCAACTTTGCCTTCAGATTATGGCGCAAAAGACTCTTGAGCCGTTTTATATCACTTTATCAATTTTCTCGATGAAATTAAATATGACTCTTATCTTCGTCCTCTCTCTTGATAAGCGTACCGGTGTCTTCACATGTCCCTGTTTACCAACCCTGTTTATTCCTCGCCCATCTCTTCCCTCTCCACTTCGTACTTGCTACATTGTCGTACCACGTGGTCAATGTTCTCTATCTCACTCCTGCGTTCGCACCATGTCCGATCAATATACCCCTTTCTCGCAAGCGACTCGATTGTATTGTAATGTTCTCAGTTTATAAATGCACGAAAATATAACACTAAGTATACAAAACCATGGTTTCTTTCTTATTCGTTCTATTTAATATTAAAGGTGCATGCCACCTCTCCAATACAATTCTATACATCGTTGTATTTACTTATATCCGTCTTGCTTCTGATAACGCATTTTTTATAGAAAAGAGCATCTAGTCAACAATATCTTCTATTGTATAAAATTTGTAATACGTATGTTAATACCGCGTAAAAACTTTTTTTACTTTGAGTTTTCGTCTTTTGTCATTTCTGCTTCATATTTTCCATAATAATCGAAAAATTGCTCTAAAGTGGTAAAAATTGCCGATGAATTGTAGTGAGACAAACGCGCGAGCGTGAAAAACTGTTTCTGTGAAAAAAACGACCACAGGCAATTTGCAACTCCCACCGACAGTCTTTTTCCCATGTTATTATGTGCGTATTGTATGCGCCCTGTCAATCATTTCTGCCGACACCTTTGAGAAATTCTTAACGCTTTCGCGTGAAGTGCTTCCCTTCGACGTATTATAATTCAAGGTATTTTCCCTTGATGTAATTTGTACGATAATGTCGCGAAAGAAAAACAAAATATAAATATTCGAGGGAATCTAGAAATAAAAGAAGCTATGATAATAATCAAGCGGCAGTCGGCTCGCTTTTACACAGTTCTTTTGAGACCTTCGAAGCAAATGGAACATCCTGAAGAGTACTATAAACTGAGCCGATTTCTTCTGTCGGTTACTGGACTGAATCCTTATCAAAGTAAACGGAGCGCTCATTTAATGAGAGCTGCTATCACGGTCATTGGATTAATAAGTGTATATATTCAGGTACTTGCGATTTAAGTAATTTTCTTTTTAATTCACTGTTAGACAATTTTCGAACTAAAAGATCGAAAATATCATACGGTATTAAAATAAAACATGGAATATAAGCTCAGAAATCATACGTCACTGTTTCATTCGCGCGAGATTGAATCGAACGTGTCTCGGATAGTTATTTCTCGAGATGAAATCATTTCTTCGTTTTTATTAAGAAATAAGAACTTCTTTCCAGGTATCGGCCGTATTTCTATCTGACATCACTATGGACTATATAGTGGATTCGGTACCGACACTTCTAATTGTACTAGGTAGTCTGAGCGAATTGGGCGCGCGTTTTATATACATAGACAAAGTAAGATCCGTAGATTCTCACGATTTGTGTTTCTCATAACTTAAATTAAATAGAATGTTAGGTCTAATATTAAAAACCTAGGCTGCGCTCATTTTTAAATAACACATATTTAAAAATAAATAATATTATACGGGTTAGTCGTAAAGGCTGTCCCAACCTTTTACCATACAAGAGCCCACATAGCACAGCGACATCACAGTGATATCAGTGTGATATCTGTTTAAGGATATCCCATATCCCAGAGATATCTTGAGATATCCAAATTATATCAGTGTGATATCACGGGAATATCCAAATTATTCTAAAAAGATACCCAAATAGCACAAGGACGTCCAGGACGGACTTGTGCTATTTGGGTAATAGGGGGGTAGTAAAACATCAGCAGGTTACCTATTAAAAAATCTTAATTTTTTAAAACAAATTTTTAAATTGTGTTAAATTATTAAATCATCAAAAATATATTTAGGTCATTGAAGTTTTTTCCATGATTGAGACAACCTGCTGTCGAGTCATATCGGCTCGCCTCTTATACTAATACGGGATGATTTTTCCTTACGAGAAAGGCTAACGCGCTGTCGCCACGTCGCGGCAGTGAGTGGTACTAGTACTGTACTATACTATTTTGAAAATATATGTTCAGGATAAATGTCCGAGAGACATCTATATATGATATTACATATAGATGTCTCTCAGATATCTTTGAGAGATCTGTGTATGATATTACATAAAGATGTCTCTCAAATATCTTTGAGATATTTGCTACGATATCTCTGAGACATTTGTATAAAGTTATCTCTCAGATATCTCTGAGATATCGGTAACTTCATAAGGATATCCTTGTTACGTCAGTGCTATGTGGGAGGTGATTTACCGACCACAACTGTAGCCAACTCGAGACAAAATGGATAAAATCTCGTCCTATATGACATTGTTACAGTAATTACATTTATCGATAAATAATTACATATTACATGATTGAGACATGTATGTACAACGATATTTAATCCATTTTATTTGGAGTTGGCTATACAGTTGCGGTTGGTAAATCACCTCTTATGGTAAAAGGTTGGGACAACATTTACGACTCACCCTGTATACACAAATACTGCATTTTACTGGGACATTATCTAGTTTAATTCCTTGTGCATTAATACAACTGGTTTGTCACTTTATTAATTAATGCCGATGCCTTCTTTATCGTGGCCATAAATAATTTTTATGAGTATATAATAAGAGGTAAAACAAAGTAAACATGACAATTATGTCAGCCAAAATATGCAACATTAACTTTATAAATCTTGTTGAATTAGAATTACATGTTACAACTATGCTTATTAATGCGATTTAATGAATATAAATGTCTATCGATTTTTTTACTATTTTGAAATGCATTGTGAGTGATTTACCATTCTACTTTCTTTTAGTTTAGAGAATTATTCGATCGTATGTCAAAAGACTGGACGGAGCAAAAGACACACTATGAGCTCAAGATTATGCACGAGCATGCTGAGCTCTCAAGATTATTCGGAATTTGTTACTTTAGTAAGAGAAACATTAAACCTCGCTTTGTCTACAGAAAAAAAAGACAGGCGTATGCCTGTGAGGTCAAGTATTTCTGTGTACACTGCCACAATTGTGTTTTTTTATTACAAGCAACATGCGATATTTTGTCTAGCTATTCATAATCACAATTTTACCTTCACACAAAGCATTTGTTACAATTGCATTAATTTTTCCCATGTATTTTGAGACATTAATATTTCTACAAACATCAATCTTATTGTTAGTTCAACTTTTTCTATAGTCCTACAAATAAGATGAAGATAAAAAGTTAAACCGAGACTTAAAATTATCTACATTAACAGAAATGAATATAAGATAGAGACAGAGGCCTCTTATTAGAATTTATTTATTAAATCAATTTTTATATCACATATTACGACAGTCTTATTAATTTGAGCATTCTCTCTCTCTCTCCCTCCCTCCCCA